GATTTTACGGAAAAATTCATTCTTCAGACTGACGCCAGCGATTACGGTTTGGGGCAGTCTTAACACAAAAAATCGATGGAAAAGAGCGAGTAATTGCATACGCAAGTCGACATTTGAGCACCGTTGAATTAAAGTTTTCTACGACGGAGAAAGAATGCTTAGCTATCATATGGGCCATCAGGAAAATGAGGCAGTATCTTGGAGGATACCATTTTACAGTTGTAACGGACCATTTAGCATTAAAATGGTTAAATTCAATCCAAAGTCCTTCCGGCCGAATTGCACGTTGGGCTTTAGAGTTACCACAGTATCAGTTTGATGTGCAGTATAGAAGAGGTGAGTTGAATACAGTCGCCGATACATTATCACGTCAACCAACAGAAGATTTACGATTAACATCTGATGATCCGCAGTGCAACTGGCTGAAGAAGAAAATAGAAGAAGTTCGTACGAATGGGCAGGCTAATCCTGGATTTTGTATCGAAGATGGGAAACTTTATCGTCGTTTTTCCACTCAGACGGACGATAGCGAGTACACTCCTTGGAAATAGTGTGTAGGTAAACCTGATCGAGTTCGCGTTCTTATGGAAAACCACGATAGTCCGACTGCTGGTCATTTGGGAATAAGGAAAACTACTATTCGCATTATCAATCGATATTATTGGCCAGGTATGCATCGTGACATAAGACGTTATGTACAGCGGTGTATATCTTGTCAGAAATATAAAGCATCACAGCAACGCCCAGCGGGAATGATGCTTTCAGCGACACCTAAAGAACCATGGGAAGTACTGTGCGCTGATTTCGTTGGTCCTTTGCCTCGTTCGAAACATGGCAATTCAACACTTTTGGTTTTTTTAACAAATTTTCGAAATGGGTAGAATTGGTTCCACTACGCTCGCCCAATGCACGCAACTTGTGCAAGGCATTCCGGGAACGCATACTTTCGAGCTTTGGAGTTCCTAAAAGCTTTTTAGCCGATAATGGTACTCAATTTACTAGTCGTAGGTTCAAGGATTTTTTATTAAAACTAGGCATTAGTGTACGGTACACGGCTCCATATATGCCCCAAGAAAATCCAACAGAAAGAGCTAATAGAACAATCAAAACTATGATTGCTCAATTTGCTGACGGAGCACATAGCACTTGGGATGAACTTCTTCCAGAATTTATGTTAGCTATCAATTCAGCAGTTTCAAATTCCACAGGTTACAGCCCTGCATATATTGTTCAAGGTAGGGAACCAAGATTACCATCCTCCCTTTATGATCAAAGTATACAGCCAACCGGGATTTCGGAAGAAACTAGTAAAGAAAAAGAAATCCGTCTTAAGGAAATAATTTTAATCGTTCGCAGAAATTTGGAGCAAGCAGCAAGCTAAATCGTACAATCTTCGGCATCGGGAGTGGAAACCAAAAATTGGAGACCAAGTATTACTTCGACAACACCACATTTCAAGTGCAGTAGAAAATTTTGCCGCCAAACTTGGACCTAAGTATGATGGTCCATTTACTGTAATTGGATTTATTTCACCCGTAATTGTAAAACTGAGGAAAGAAAATGAATCGCGACTTCGGACAGGTCACCTATCGCAATTAAAAGCCTTTGTTTCCCGAAGAGGAGAATAAGTGTGAAGTACTTTCACAAAAATACACATGGTTGTTTAAATATGTTTTATCAGATATTCTTTTGTAAATTTGTTAATGAAGTTTCAATGAATGAAAAATATAGACAGTTGTTGGAAGGCAAGCAAACGATACTGAAGCTACCCCGGATTTTAATTCATCACAAGGCTATCACGCTCATCGGCTAGCACAGCCGCTTCAGCAGGGAAATTTGGACGTGGGTCGGTGATACATCCTGCCGGTACGAAGCGAGCTGCAGCAGCGGTGACAGCCCTGCGGAACTTACGTTCACCAAGGTGGACATCGGTTGGTGTGGGAGAGCAGCGAAGGTGTTTTCAGTAAATTCCGCGAAGCCTTTCCAATCAGCTTTAGAAAAGTTGATATATGTTCGGTGCTCCGCGGAAGCAAAGTCGGTTGGTTTATCGATCGATGTGACTATGGGCAGATGGTCTGATGCCAAAGTCAGCATAGGTCGCCATGATATGCTGTTTATCAGACCAGCGGTGATTATTGTTATGTCTGGCGAGCTGCAGCAGCTGCCCATAATCCTGGTGGGTGCGTCGTCGTTCATTGTGCAGAATGTCGAATCGTCTATCTGCTCAGCCAAGTCAGTTCCCCTACGATCGTTTGACAGGCTTGAGTGCCAAAGATCGTGGTGCGCATTAAAGTCGCCTACTACCATACGGTTTTCACCTCTGAGGAGCGCACCTATGTCAGGGTGATATCCTGCCGGGCAGCAGGTGACAGGGGGTATATAAACATTAAATATTTCGAGCTCAACATCGCCTGACCGAATAGCAATGCCCTGACATTCTAGGGTGGTATCCCTGCGGTCGATGTCTGCTTCGATAAGACGATACTGCACGGTGTGGTGCGTGATGAACGCTAAGTCACCACCATTATCCCGCTCGCGATCTCGACGGTGCACGTTGTACCCGGCACAATTCAATAGTGTTGAATTGCTGTGCAACTTTGTCTCTTGGGTCGCAGCTATCAATATGCCATGCCTTCCCATGAAGACGGTTATCTCCTCGATCTTGTTCTGAAGCCCGTTAGTTACATTGAAGGAGCTTCATGTGGTTCGGGAGACGTGTGGTGATGCGGGATGTGAGGGATGTGTGTGGTCGTGCCGCAGTTGGCTGTGTGCGCTGCTGAGGTGGTTGCCGCCCTGTGGTGGTGGCGGGAGGCGTCGCAGTTGAGGTCTGCGACCGAGCAGCGCAACACGATGTGTCCGTAATCCTGAGCAGACTCTGAGGTGACTCCACCCCTCGCAAGCATTGCACTTGACAGAGGTAGAGTTGTGGTGTAGTCGTCTCTGGCATACACAGCAGGTGTAGGTTTCTGGCCCTGGGTTTGACTCGATACCAGCCCTGAGTAGGAGAACAACTTCTGAGATACTTCACCGACCTAAACGGGGTTAGATCGCCGAAACAACAGCCCTTGGTCGGGTAAAATCCGAGTCATTCCGGTACGTAGAACCGGCTGTCGTGGGAACACTTTCGCTGGTTGTTGTTGTTTTTGTTGTAGCGGCTGGTTGTTGTTGTTGTTGTAGCGGCTACAACAACCCCGCCCAGGACGGTTGGTATCTCAGTCGTTGACGTTCCACTAACGGCAACCCTAGGAAGCGTGCAGCTTCTGTAGGGTTTGTCCACAGGGACAAGGCCGTTAGGGTTGTCGGGTTTTCCGGACACTCATTCGGCACATCCTCATTCAACCTACTCAGGTAGGAGTTCAACCTGCTGCAGTAGCCGGAGCGAAGTTGTGCAAGTGTTGTGCGTGTCTCCCGAGGCAGATGAAGCTCCGTCTCGTCTATGTCCGGGGGTGGTTCATATAGATGCCTCCTGACGTGCCTAGGCGAGGGCTCCTCTGCAAGCAGCTGTCTGCTTGGGTGGCCACTTCTGTGGCTCCCGATCACGAACTGCTTGCAGAGCATTATATTGTGCTCCTTTACAGGGAGCATTTGCGCCTCGCCGTGCAGGTGGTGTTCAGGCGACATCAGGAGGCATCCTGTCGCTGTCCTGAGTGCGGTGTTCTGTACAGTCTGTAGCTTCGTCCACTGCGTCCTACTAGTCCCTGGCGACCACACTGGCGCTGCGTAGCTCAAAACCGGCCGGCCTATTGCCTTGTATGTTGCCAGCAACGTTTCTTTGTCTTTGCCCCAAGTACTGCCGGCTAGCGACTTGAGGACCTTGTTGCGGCTCTGTACTTTATTGACAATAGCGGTTGAGTGCGCAGAGAAGGAGAGCAGGCTGTCGAATGTTACTCCGAGTATTTTGGGGTTATTCACCGTCGGAATTGGTGTGTCATCGACGTGAATCCCCAGCGGTAGCCTGACCTCCTTCGTCCAGGTTGTGAACAGGGTCGCGGAGGATTTCGTAGGGGAGAGGGCTAGACACTTTGCAGTGAAGAAGCGAGAAAGTTCGGAGAGATACCCGTTTACTTTCGAACACAGGTCATCAATTCCATTCCCAGTCGCCATGATCGAGCAATCGTCGGCATAAGAGACAATCGAGAAAATCTGATTAAGCGGTCTGGTTTGTCCGAATTTGAACCCAAACACCAGTTATAGTTATTATTCACGCTTATTCAAAATACATAATATATAAAAAATATACATTTGTTCTTATTAGTAATATATAAACAGGGAATTTTTAAAACCCATCGCACATGTGCGGGATATTAATAGCTAGATTGCATAACGTGTGTTAGAATATATCTTAATCAAAATGCACACCAAATTGCTTAGATTGATCCTTCACCTAGCCATACCCGATTAACTGGCCTTGTATGCACAGAAAAAATCCAGTACAAATTAATTAATCACCAAACCTACTTAATCAAAATGAGGGTTAATGATTAAAAAATCATTTTTTTTTTATCGCGGTTACGATTACTGGTTCAATCAGATTTAAATTAATCATAATTAACTGTAATCGGATTGACTTAAATCGAATTAACTAATTGATTAAAAAATCAATTGATTAGTGTCAACACTAGTTGTAAGTATGTGTCGGATAGAGCCTTGCATTGAGGGTGCCGATATGTAATCATACATATCGTCGTTTAAAGTTCAAAACCGCGTATCAACAAAATGCATGTATGTGAGGTTGCATAAATTATTTTCTTGAGAGTAAAAACACTCATATTTCAAAATGGTTATCTTGTTTATAAAGCAATCGCATTTCTGGCTAGTATATTTCAGGACGAATGAATAAGGTTTGAGCCAAGAGCTTTTGTGAGCAAATCCAATTTTCGGCAGCAAATGTCAGTTACGCGGTTTTGCAGAATGACGATACGCGGTTTTGTACTTTAAACGACGATATGTATATATGTATGTATAAAGAAGATGCGGCTAGTTTGTTATGAAGTATTTACCTTATTATTAACGTCATAACCGCTTACAGAATATGTGTACATAAGAAAACTTCCCCCTTGTGAGGCACTGGGTGAGCATTCCGGTATATCCGGATCGTGTTCCGATCCCCAATTGTGGCCGAACTCATGCGCAGTTACCAAATCTGCTTCGCGTGTTATGACACGCTGTCCATAATGATTCCGTGAGCTACTCAATCCCGAATTTAAATACAGAGTGTACCCATTTTTAAAATACTCTATTGAATGAAAAAAAAAACATTACATCATTAGCGCATACGTATTTTATATATGTAAAACACAAGGCATATTAAATAAAGTAGAAGTGTTTTTGACATTTCTCTCTTTAGAACACCGACAATAACGTCAAATGATTTAACCCTTTTAGTTGGCGTTTTCCATTTTTCATTAAAAATTCATTCGCGTGCTGTGAGAATGTTTTGAATTGTGTGAACTTTGTTTTTCGACCACATCCATTTATAGAAAAAATTAAAAAGAGCAAGAACTTCGAGCTTTGCGCCGTATATGGGAAGAGCCACGACTTTAAAGTGGTGCGATACTTTAAGGGGCCTAGTTTCAAAGTTAAGAGATTTCGTTGGGAGAACGGCCGCGGTTTTCAATTGGAAGATTATTCCCGTGTTTGTCAAAATCATTTGAACGCGAACGATTTATTACTTGCCCATTGCAGGAAAATATTTTTAAGCGTATGCATTTACACCCAGGTGCAGTTCCCATGCCCTGGGAGGTTTCTGTGCCTAGAATGCCTGAGACACCCGAAAGTTCAGAAGAGACGATATCATCTGTTGATGCGCAGACGCAAACTGAGTAAGTCTGTAAGAATTAAGTAGTTTCATACAAAATTATGCACACAAAAGCACGTCAGGACCTAGATGTACACTGATATACACTGGCGATCAAAACCGAGTGCATATACCACACTTTATTACTTACAGCAACATAACTTTCTTTATAATAAGCAGATGGCTTTGAAAAACTAAACTAAACTAAAAGGAATCAAGCGATTCACAGCAAAAACGAAAGGCGACTCTATTCACTCGGTTTTGAACTTTTCTGTTTTCTGATGTTAGGAGGTTGATGTCGAGATAGACTTCCTTGTTCATTATTCCTTTAATATTAACCAACTGCACCAATTGCCAGCAATTAAAACACCTCAAGGCATTAAGCTGCCACTGAAATTTTGTAAAAAGTCTCGAGAATTGGAGCTTTCGTCCGATGGAACGAAAATTAATTTTTTCTAGAGCGATAGAAAGGAGTATTTTTGGTAAAGACCTCATCAATATCTTCAAAAACATCATTTCAAGAAAAATGGTGGTAGCAGCTTAATAATTTCGGAGTGTTTTACTTGGTGGCATTTGTATATTCTCCAAACCAATTTGCCGGACTTTGTAGACAAAAGCGCATACCCTGAGGAAGAAGTTGTTTGCCAGCAGGACAGAGATCCAAAGGATCCTGAAAATAATCGACACCGTCGGCTACTTGAGAAAAATTCTCACGTAATGCAGTGCAGCCCTCAACGCCATCGACAAATTGAGCGCTGTGGACAAGAGAGGATTAGCAAAGCACAAGCGAGCTACCAGTAACATGGAAGAGCTTTAGAGGCGAGTAACATTATAATGGGGTAATATTACAAGCAACATCATTGAAAACTCAGTAGAGAGCATTCCCAGACGTATGAAAATTGCTAGTTAAAACAAGGGAGTCTCCACAATCTTGATATCAACCCCCTAAAACCTCAAAACAGAATAGTTCAAAACTCAGTGAATAGTGGCCTTTTGTTTGCTTTGAATCGCTTGATTCCTTTTAAAGTTATCTTTTCTGTATACTAGGCTTTATTCCTTGAATAATAAGGACCGATATCTGAAAATTTCAAAACAATCCGTTTATTATTAAAAAAGTTATAATGTTGATATAAGTAATAAAATGTGGTACATGCACTCGGTTTTGATCGCTAGCGTACATGCGTACATATCTGTGTTCGTATGGAAAAGTAGCTTATGTCGAAAGGCTGGCTTTAGTATAATGCGGCAATCCCTTTATTTTTTAAACGGCAAGGAATTTTTTGATGAGACTTAATAAGAATATTGACTTGCTAGTATCGGAACTATTTCTTCCACGTTTATTTGCCAAAAGTTGTTCCACGGCTTAGCGCCAGTGAGTCATTCGCAATCGTATGCTGCGAATGCCGATTTATACTAAAGCCAGCCTTTCGACATAAGCTACTTTTCCATATGAACACAGATATGTATGTGTACATGAATTTGTTTACCAACACGTTTTTAAATTTTTTCACCAGCAATGATTCCATACAATGTAGTTCCGAAACGGAAATATACATTCTTAATGAAGAAATTAAGACAATGGAACACACTATAGCGGATCTTACCGCCCAGTTTAGCGAGGCTAAGTCTTTACAAGCCTTCCTTGAAAATTTTTTTACTAAAGGGCAGTTAAAAAAACTATCAAGAAATAGTTAGAGTTAAGTGTTCATATAAATTTAGAAGAAAATATTAAATAATTTTTTAAAAGTGCCGGATGTATTTTAGGATTAAATATTTAAATAAGAAACTAAATGCGCAAAACATTGGACAAATAAAAACAAAAAAATTTTTAAAACAGTTTCATAAAATATTTCTTTCATTTTGTTAACTAGGTTTCCTTTATGAGGTTTTCGTTTGCGTCCATATGTATACATATGTGCATATCTCTGAACGTAATATTGAAGTAATTCTTAAAATTAGTATACGTACATATGTATGTATTTATGCTGATGCGTTTCAATTGATGCTAACGTGTAGCAAACATAGCACTCGCACCTCAAAGGGTTAATTTGTTTGTTTACAGTTTTTTGACATTATAACTAGCTACAAGAGTTCCAGCTAGTTGTCACTTCTATCTTATTAAATATGCCCTGTTTATACACATAAATAAAGTAAGAAGTAAAAAATATAAAATGAAAATAACCAATTGCTTGTGAATAATCCAAAATTTAATTAAAAGATGTGGGCACGCTATCAAAATTATATTAAAAAAGAATTAGCAATTTTATTTCATTGGTCACAAACTTATATGGATGTACAAATAAAAGTTTTTTAAAACAAAAAAAAAACAAAAAAATTCTAACTTAAAGATTTATTTTTTGTCCAACAACCTGGTGTACAAATCCCACCAACGGAATTGCGACGTGGAGAACCTACATAAGCCAAACCTAGTATACCGCCTTCAAATTTTAGATCAGTAAAGAGATGTGCTAAGCAAAAATCTTTATGACTATATTCTCTCGAAAACACCTACAAACATCCATTATTATTATGATGTAATGAGAAGAAAAAGCAAAGAGAGCATATACAGTGGAAATATTGATTACGTCGATATAAATAGACCTAAAGCTATACGAAAAACAAGTTTTTAATTTTACAAATCATACTTACCTCCAATAAATTGCGTACATCCCATTTTTCACGAATCATATTGTAATGAGCTTCTCCACCACGTAGCCGGGTCGGCTCTGAGTGAACAACAATTTTCTTTATCACAAAACCCATACCTTTAAAGCCTTCTTGATCCTGGAGTATATGTATATCAAAATAAATGGTTAATTTGTCAAATAAATGGAATTAATGCATTTCCTTACTGTTCGATCTTGCCATACAGTATCGTTATAAATTTTATGCACACGATCAATAAGACTTATCTGAGATAAGAGAAGAACAACAAATAAGTTAGAGCAATTAAGTTAATTATAAAATTAGATATCACAATGTACCAAGTAATTTATAGTCGTTTTGGTATTCCCACCTCCCATTTCTTGAAAGAAACGGTAGTCGGCTACTAGTAAAAGTGGACACCGAGTTTTAGTGGGTGTGTACTCATATTGATCCGCTTGTCGTTTTTTACGTTTATGCGCACTGTCGTCCCCGTCATCTTTTTGTAACAGCAGTGTTTGAGAATGGTGCGAATGTCGATCTATATCTTCATCTTCATCTATTTCTAAATCTAAGGGCCGATGAATTGTGTAAGTTTATTAAAATTGTTATATATATTACCTAATCCCTCTTTGACATAACCGCATGTCATGGGCGCACCACTCAGCCCATTATTATTCTTGTTCCAATTCAATTTCATATCAGACGTTCTATATGCTACCATAGTTTTTCCCGCTTCCAAAGGCAAGTGTCGCCATGATGGCTTTCGCAATAAAAAATAAAAAATTTGAGAAATAAGATATTAACCAGCAAACTGCCAATTACCTCTACGTGATATGTTTCATCCGGTAGATGTATGGACATAGTCATCAAACCATCATCGATGTGCGCTCGAACAGATGATTCCATTTCACCGAATACACGTCCGGTGTAATAATTATCATGATCTGTTTAAAGATATGAGACAATTATTATCTACGAGTATACAAAAAAATCGTGGATTTTGAAAGAGTACTTACCCAGATGTACCACCGTCTCATTTCCATCGCCATCTACCGTGTACGCCTTGAAGTTACTGTGTAAGACTTCCCGATGTGGGTGAAGTATCAGTCGAAAATGTTTCCCCAAGGTCTTGAACTCTACCTCCTTGATCACGTTATAGGGGTGTGAACTGTGTTTAATACCGCGCTTAACAATTTTGTGTCTACAATCTTCGCTGCGGAGTATCTCGTAATGTCGGAGTGTCCTATGAAGTGTGGCTGCGATCCAATTCCGTTAATTTTTCCACCAAAGACCATAATATTAGCTTTTACTTACATGCATTCTGGAGAAAAACTACTGATAAAATTACTAAAAAAACACCATTTCCATTGAAAACTCTAAGAACTGTTGTCATTTTCACTAATTTTCGCACAATATTGATTTTTTGCGGAAAAAGTTTGTTGCCACCAAGGCATATTGCCACCTTACACATTAAGTATTGTTACGATTATCCTCGAAACCTTGAGGGATTTCCCAAATATA